TTCCCTGTTAACCTGTTTTGTTTCCTAAGTTCCACATCTGTGTGAAGTCATATGTTATTTGTCTTTCTCTGACTGACTTATTTCATTAGCATGACACTCTTGCTCCATATGTCACAGCTATATATACATGTATATATATGTCCCAACTCTTTTATCCATTCCTCAATGGGTGGACAGTTGAGCTCGGCCTATAGTTTGGCTATTGTTGATAAACCTGCTATAAACATTGGGGTACATGTGCCCCCTTGAGTCTGTAATTTTGTATCCACTGGGTAAGTACCTAGAGGTGCAATTGCTGAGGCATAGAGTAGTTTCCTTAAATCTTAGAGGATTACACAGGCAGTAACTTCTTTGACTTTAGTTATACAAAAATCTTATTATTTTATTTTATTTTTTCAGTGTTCCAAGATTCATTGTTTATGCACCACACCCAGTGTACAAAAGTCTTAATAAGTATGTCTCCTGAGGTAAGGGAAATAGATTTAAAATAAAGTATCTGGGTTTCATCACGAGGAAAACCTTCTGAACATTGAAGGAAACAATCAACTAAACTAAAAGGCAACCTTTGGGATAGGGAAAGATATTTGCAAATGACCTCTCTAGTAAAGGGTAGGATCCAAAAACAGATAAAGAACTTAGCAAATGAACACTTAAAAAACAAGTCATCCAGTTTAGAAATTAGGCAAAATAGCATGAATAGATTTCTTTCCAAAGAAGAAAACCAGATGGCCAAGGGGCCCATGAAAAGATGTTCAACATCACTCATCATCAGGGTAATACAAATCAAAAGTACAAGGGGATATCAACTCTCTCCAGCCAGAATGGCTAAAATTAATATGGAGAAAGGGGAACCCACTTACACTGTTGGTGGGAATGCAAACTGCTACAGCCACACTGGAAAATGGAGTGGAAATTTCTCAGAAAATGATTATTGTAGCTTTGTAATAAATTTTGAAACCAGAAAATGTGAGTCCACAAACTTTGTTTTTATTCAAGACCTTTTTTTAAGATTTATTTATTTATTTATTTGAGAATGAGAGAGAGAGCATGTATGCGGGTGCACACAAGCTTAAGCCCGGGATTGGGCAGAGGAGTAGAATCTCAGACAGACTCCCTGCTAAGGGAAGAGTCTGTAGGGCTTGATCCCACAATCCTGAGATCATGACCTGAGCTGAAATCAAGAGCTAGGCATTTAACCAACCAAGCCACCCAGTTACCTCAAGAAGTTTTTTAGATATCTGAGGTCTCTTAAGATTCCATATGAATTTTAGAATGAATTGTTCAGTTGCTGCCAAAATAAAAAAATGTTGAGATTTTGAGAAAGATTGCACTAAGCCCATAGATGGCCTTGGCTACTATTGCCAGCTTTAAGATATTAAGTCTTCCAGTGAATATGTAAGGTTCCTCCAGTGATTTGAGTCTTTTTAAATTTCTTTTAGCCATGTATTATAGTTTTCAATGTACTAGTCTTCTGCCTCTTTGGTTAAATTTATTCATAAGTATTTTGTTCTGTTTGATAATATTGTAAATGGATTTGTTTTCTTAATTTCTTTTTGGGAATGTTCATTGTTAGTGCATATCAAAATGTAACTGATTTTTATAATTCTGTATCCTATAACTTTGCTAATTTCTTTTATTAGTCAAACAGTTTTTGTGTGTGTGGAATCTATGGGGTATTCTACATGTAAGATCATATTGTTCAAGAACAGAGACAATTTTACATCTTCCTTTTCAGTATGGATGCCTTTATTTCTTGTCCTTGACTAATTGATCCAGCTAGAACTTCCAATACTCTATTGAACTGAAATGATGGAACTGGGCATTTTTGTATTACTTTTGATCTTAGGAAAAGTTTTAGTCTTTCACCACTGATATGTCAACTATGGGTCTTTCATATATGGCTCTTAATATGTTTATCATAGAACTTTTCTCTCATTCCTAAACAGAGCATTTTTGTGACGTATGTTGATTTTTTCAAATGCTTTTCCTCATGAATTGGAATGATCATCGAATTTTTTTTTGATCTTTTAAGCCTATCATATTCTATTCTGTTAATTACATTGTTTGATTTTTGCAATGAACCGTGTTTCCATTGTGGAAATACATCCTACTTGGTCATGGAATATAAATCTTTTAATATGTCGTTAAATTCAGTTTGCTAGATTCTTTTGTTGAGGATTTTTGCATCCGTATTTATATGGGTTATTGATCTGTACTTGAAGTATTAGTATGGTTTTGATTTTGGGATAATGCAGATCTCATAGAATGAGTCTGGAGGTGTTCTTCAATTTTTTTGAAGTGTTTGGGAGAGATTGGTGTTAACTCTTCATTAAATGTTTGCTCAGATCAACCTACGAAACCTTCTGGTCTCAGGCTTTTCTCTTCTAGGAAATTTGTAATTACTGATTCAATCTCTTTACTAGGTCTATTCAGGTCTATAGGTCTATTCAGATTTTATGCTTCTTTTTGTTTCAGTTTTGGCACGTTGTATGTCTCTAGGAATTTATCCATTTGCTATAGGTTATCTAATTCATGGATGTATAATTACTCTGACTAGTTTCTTATGATTCTAGTATTTCTGTAGTATCAGTTGCAATATCTCCTCTTTCTAAATTAAATTTATTTATTTCAGCACCTTTTTGGTTTTGTTCTCTGCTAACTTTGAGATTCATTTGTTCTTTTTTTTTTCTAGTTCCTTGACATTTAAAGTAAGATATTTTATTTGACATGTTGCTAATTCCTTAATATATGCATTCCTCATTATTCATTTTCCTCTCAGAACTGCTTCTGCAGTATTCTATAGGTTTTGCTATTTGTTTCCATTCCCATTAGTTTCCATTAGGATTTTTTCTTCCATTTGTTTCTTTTTCCCATTCTAATCTTTGACCCATTGGTCATGCAAAAGTATGTTTTATTTCCATAAATATATGTTTGTTTTCCAGATTGCCCCTTGTTTTTTATTCCATGTTATTAAAAAAGACAGCTACTATGACTTAAATCTTCTTAAATTTGCTAAGACTTGTTTGGTGTCCTATCATAGGATCTATCCTGGAGAATAATCTGTGTGGACTTGAAAAGGATGTGCATTCTGCAACAGTTGATTGACATGTTTTATATATGTCTTTTAAGGCCACTTGGCCATAGTATGGTTCAATTCCAAGGCTTTCTTGTTGCTTTTCTGTCTAGATGATCTATCCATCACTGGAACCTAGGGTATTAAAGTTGCTATTTTTGTGTTGTTACCTTTCCTTCCTTCAGATCTGTTAATATTGCTTAATATATTTAGGTGCTCATGTTGGGTATGTATATATTTATGATTTTTGTATCATCTTGATGTATTTACTCTTTTATCATTATGTGATAGCTTTCTTTGATTCTGTTACTGGTTTTTGGCTTAAAGTCTATTTTGTCTGATATAAGTGTAACTATAATTTTTTAGGTTCTACTTGCATGGAATACCTTCAGTCCCTTCATATTGAACCTACATGTGTCTTTAAAGCTGAACAAATCTCTGGTAGGCAGCAAGTAGCTGGGTCTTGTTTTTTATCTGTCATTTTGCAGATTTTTTGTCTGATATTATGCTGTTTCTAATACCATGCTAGTACTGATGCTGTTTGTTGCTGTTTGAGATTTACTTACTCTCTATTGTCTTCTGAGGGAAGAGAATTTAGCTTTCTTACAGCTTAGGTTCTCTACATGATTTCCCCCCATCCTTTCCATTCTTCCAGCATAGTTATATCATTAGTGTGTTTTGGCCTCAAGCTTTGATGATGGAGATGTCTTCAAATGTCTGCTGGTGCTCTTCATTCTCATTTAAGAGTGAGACACTAGAACAGGATTGGAGCTCTGTGTGCTGGAAGCCCACATAGTTGCTGTTCCATATTGCCTCCTTCCTAGTGACCTGATTGTCCCTGCAGTATTTTCCGCTGCCCAGGAGCACTCACATTGATCTAAAAGTTTCTGGAGTCTAAACCTTTCTTCAAAATCATCACAAACTGGAAACTTCCCCAGAGTAGGTGGGTGAGTTGAAGATTCTTATTTCCTGTAAATCTTCTTTGAAATATCCTCTTCACTCAGGGGAAAAACAGGAGAGAAAAGTAATGAGAAGGAGAGTGGACAGGGTTTCCATTAATTAAGGAAGTTGTCTTGCACTTTAACATGGAAGCTTCTAAAAAAAAGTCTGCATTGTGGGATGGTTGTCAGAGTCTAGTACTTTCTTACTCAACCAGAGTCACCCTGATCTGCCTAGTGTAATGGGTAGAGCATGGGTTTTAAAGCTAGATCTGCATTCAGATCCATGCTCACTATTAATATTGTGGCAAATGCCATGACCTGTGAGTCTCATCTGTAAAATGGGAATACTGCTGATATCATAGGGCTGTTCTGGAATTGGAAATCTTGCTTGTAAAGTGTCTATTATATACATACACCATGAATGATAATCCCGACTTCGTTAGAAACCACCTGCTGATAGTTTTAGATATAGCCTAGAGGAGGCAAAGGAATGATATAAAGGAAAATCCAGGAGCATTTTGTTGGGATGTGGTGCCAAAGAGCTCTCCCTCCAACCCAACCACAGACACCTTCAAGGGGCAGGGGAGGAGCAGACATCTGAGAGACAATGGGCAACCCGGAAAGCCAACAAATCAGAATCACTGGAGGCTTTACCAACCAATGCATCCTCCCTTGTTTCTTGTCCAGCAACCCTACCTAGCATGACCATACATCCTGGTTTGCTACCACAAGTCCCTCATCCTTTGAAGTTCCTCAGCCCAAGCATACAGATACTGTTAGACAACCTTCGCACAACTCACACTGATGAAAGTCACTACAAGGGTGACCCACTAGGTCACTGAGGATGTGTGGCAGGCTTTGCCTATGTTGAGGAGAGTAGAGGTGAGGAGCTTGCTAAAGGACCTGCAGGAAATCAGAGAAGACAGGAACTATTCCTACACAAAAGATGTGATTCATCTCTCTGACTCGTGTTTCTTCATTTTCAGGTCGGGCAGTGTGAACAACAACTGGATGGACATTTATGACATGGTGGAAGATTTGGTCAATAAGTTTGACAAGTATGGCTTCTCTGTGTTAATAGGGTGTTGTTTCCTTCTGCCAGACGTAGTACAGAGCTGTTTAGACTCAGTGGGCACGGGAATCCCTCCAGTCAAGAACACAGAGCCCAGAGTGAAGTTCTGAAGCAAGAAAGGAGAGATCACAGTGATTCCAAGGGTCTCAGCAACTTTACTTCGCTCCTGCCTGACAGGCCATATTACTAGAGACACAGTAATATGCCCTGAGGACCTAACAGATTAGGAAACAGGCAAACCAGTAACACAGTAATTAAACACCTGGTTAAAGGTGTCAGGGGCCAAAATAAAAAGGCAAAGGACTTAAATGAAAGCTTACAGAAAAAGGAAAAATTTTAATTCAAGGATGGCTTCCCAGAAGATGTGGCAATATCAACTAGGTTTTGATGGATAGGAAAGACAGGGCAACAGGAACCATCAAGAATACTTCTTATGAAATGAGTGGTCTGTTTGGCTGCAGAGTAGGGTTATCTCAAGAGAGGACTAGGAGATGAGGCTGGGCATGTTGGCTTGTAGCCAAGGCCATAATAGCTCATAGTGCCATGCCATGGGGCCTAGGTTTCATGTTGTGAGCAATAGGGAGCTACAGATAATTCTTGTTGAAGGGTTTGACATGACCAAGGTTGTGTATTAAGAAGAAAAGTCTGACAGAAATGGGTAAAATGAGTGGAAACAAGAGCCAAGAGCAGTAGGGAACTCAGCTAGAGACGTATGGTACCAATTTAGCCAAGGATAATGAGGGTCAGCATACCAGAAGACAATGGCCAGGAGCAGAAAAGCCTGGAGGGATGTAGGGATGTAGGGATACAGGCCAGGAGGGATGTAGATGAATGGCTGCCAAGAGGGAAAATAATTTCTTTGAGAGGAGGAGGGAAGAAGTGGGGAAAACAGGCAAGAAAGGAAGGGCAATGAAGTTCCAGAGAATGTTAGAGAAGGGAGGTCAGGTGGGAGATCCTCCTGCAGGAGTGTGCAGATGTTTCTCTGTCTCCTTGTGAATGCAGCTGTCTATGTAAGTGCCTCTGTGTGTTTGTGTGTGGTGTTTGTGTGTGTGTGTGTGTGTGTGTGTGTGTGCATCTGCACGCACATGTACATAAGAGAGAAAGATAGAGAGAAAACTCTAAACAGAAAACTCTAAAACAGAAAAACACTATTGGGTGTTGTGAGGTAAGGATGGATCAAGATGCCATTCTGGCACACTCTTCCAGAAAGGCCAGATATCTTACAGGCCTCTGAATTCCTTACTAAAGTTATGGGAAGTTCTGGGGTTTGGGAAATGGGCCCCAAAGGATAAGAATTAGGGTGAGGGTAGGGGAACTGTCATGTATCCCCTCCCTGGCTGCTTCATTTCCTGGCTTCATTTTGAGCCTCTTTCTATGACTTCTCACATGCACATTCTTCCTCCCCAGCCCAAACCAGCGGATGTCTTTCATCACCTACTCCACAGAGGGCCACACACTCATGAAACTCACATCAGACAGGTAAGTGTTGACATGGTGACCCCCAAGACAGGCCCAGAGGGTAGGACTACAGAAAGAGCCAGGGAACGAATGAGTTCCCTGAGACCACAGGGGGGAGCCCACTGGAGTGCAGGCTGGGCAGGCCTAGACTACCCTCATTGTGCACCCTGACTCACAGATCTGGCTCCCCAACCCTTTCTGACTCCCAGCTGCTCTGACATTGGCCACCCTGTGCTACTAGATCATCTCCACTCCTAAGCCCTGCCTTTCACCTGTCCTGACTCTTTGTTTCTGCATTCTTCCATCTTCTTAGAACATACTGGCTGTGAGGACTCCCAGGATGGTATAGAACAGGTGTATGGTTCCTTTACAAACAGTGAACTGCATTGATCTGTGGTCATGTGTCACTCTCTGCCCTGGGCCAGTGGGGGTGCCAGTGAAACAGTCATAACCAAGGAGGAAAGGATGAGCAACATCAAATTATTGATGGTCTCAGCGAAGGGGATCTTACTTCCATGGTGGGTCTGAGACAGGGGAGCCCATGAGTAGGATCCTGAACATCAGAATTGAGAAAGACAAGACATGTGCAAAGCCTAGGCCACGGTGGGCCCAACAGTTTGCCCAAAAGCCTAGAATTAGGGAGTTATAGAGGTTCTGAGTAGCTGACTAAGGAAGTTAAGATTCTTGAGGGCACAAATGATCGGAACACAACACGGAGAAAGTTAAACAGCAAAGAGAGGGTGAATATCCTTAGGACTGGATGGGTGCCAGAATTTGAGTCACAGAGCCACCATTCAGGACCATGGAGAGAAGCCAGGAGCAGCAGAGTGAGCAAGAACAACCAGACTGCAGGAGAAGGGTGTCATGATGTCAGTGCATGCAGACAGCACTCTCATCTCTGACTCCAGGAAAAGCAGTGAGTGGGATGACTGCTCCAAGCATTAGTGGAGGCACAGATTTGTGGTTATGTGTTTAGAACAGAGAGACCTGAATGGATATGAGCTGAGTGGAAGGAAGCAAGTCCATCAGGGGTGACGCTGGCAGGTGGCAGAGAGATGCAAGGCTGTTGGGCAGGGGCCTCTGGTGGAAGAGCTGTCACTGGGGAGGGGAAGGCTTCTGCCTTCTCTAAGGTGGGAGTCTCAGGGCCCAGATGTGAGAAGCTGTGTAGGGGCTTAGGGAGGGCCTCCTGGTCTTCTCTGGACAAAACATGATGTCTTCCACAAACAAGGTTTCAGGAGTGGCAGTGTACCCAGGGGAGTGGAAAAGATGTGAAATGAAATGGGACAAGATGTGCAGCTGGGAAGAGAGCTCACACTCAGATCAGGGTCCTAAGGCTGTCAGCTCCTGAGAAACCCAGAGAATCTTGAGTGGAGTTAGGCTCCACCTGAGACTGGGCCTTCCCAAACGTGCCCCACTGCCTAGGAGTTGAGGAGGCCTATGGCTGAGAGACCAGGTGGAGCCTGACATTCAGAGAAAATCCCGGAGGGGGCAATGTTACCTGATACAATTGTGACTCTGGAGGTTCTGCAGAGAATGTGGGACCAAGGCTAGGACCTTGCTTGGTGCTTTCTGAGCCCTTCCTGCTAGGATCGAGTAGGGTGAGGAGACATAGTCCAAGAGGGGTTTCGTCTGGATGTTGGAGAAGCCAGATGGCCCAGAAGCTAAAAAGACCGAGAGGTGTTGCCCACGAGGGTGACAACAGGAGAGAGATGGAGAGACTCCAAGGAGTTGAGATAGGTATTAAAGAGGAAGAGAGACTGCTAGGGGACAAGGAGCCTGGTGTCCCTCCCATGGACAGAGCTGGGAGTGGAAGGAATCCCTCCCTGGAGGGAGCCTATTGGGCTAGACAGTGGGAAGAGATGAGAGTTCCCCCATACTTGGGATGCTGCCACAAAATACGAATCTTCCAGTGTATGATGAGAGAGGAGGGGAGAGTGCTTCCACTGAACAGACAGTGCCTGGTGTAGTTTCCACTGGCCCCAGGTCCCAGGCCTCACCTCATAGGCTGGGCTGGGCTGCGCTGGGTGGGGCTGGACCTGGGGCTCTCAGGTCTCCCCCATAGCAACATCTGCACTCTCCACAGTGAGAAGCCTTCTTGGGTCCACATTCTCCTAGACTGACCGTGCCAGCCTAGCTCATCACATGGGATTAGCCTGAACCTAAACCCCCAGCCTCTCCTGTGTCCCAGTCCCACCCATGAGATCTCCCTTCACAGCGGTTGTCTGGCCACAGACCCATGGCTGCCAGGGGATCACTCCTCAGGGCCACTTCAGGCTTTGGCCTTTTCCAGGAGCACATGAACTCAGGAGCGCTAGTGTGCTCATGAAGCAAGCTTGCTACTTCCTTTAGCACCAGTCCAGAAGGGAAAGAAGCTTGGGGGGACCAGGTCAACCTCAGGGATCTTTGGCAGTGGAGGATGGGACAGAGCAGGAGCATCAATCAGCAAGATGACTCTTCCAAACTCAGCCTTACCTGTTGAAGGATAGTGTGCCTTCCTGAAGGACCTGGTAGCTTCTAGCAACCCTGCCCATCACATTGTGAGTGGGATTCACAGTGACACCTCCATGGGTGTGCCCCACATTCACCCTGGGGCCTTGGGGGGTTCCCCCAGGTCTGTGTGCCTGAGACAGTGATGAGTGCAGAGAAAGCCAGGCCATACCCATGGGACTAGCAAAGCAGCATCTCCCACCCTATGCTCACCTGATGGGAGACAGTGGAGGCCTGAGCATGGCCTATCAATATCAAGGACAGGGGGCTGAAGGTCATGACCGGGCTACTTGACTTGTGTCCTGTCCCAGCCAGACAGATGTACACTCTGCACAGTGGTTCCAGAACAGCTTGGGGCTGTCTTTAATATCAAGCCCAAATTACACTTCAACCACCTTTCAGATTTTTTTTTTTGCTTCTTTTTTCTCCAGCTCCTTTAGGTGTAGGGTTAGGTTGTGTATTTGAGGCCTTTCTTGTTTCTTGAGAAAGGCTTGTATTGCTAAATACTCTCCTCACTGTCTTTGATGCATCCCAAAGATTTTGAACAGTTGTGTTTTCATTTTCATTTGTTTCCATGAATTTTTTTTAATTTTTTTAATTTATTTTCAGCGTAACAGTATTCATTGTTTTTGCACCACACCCAGTGCTCCATGCAATCTGTGCCCTCTCCAATACCCACCACCTGGTTCCCCCAACCTCCCACCATGAATTTTTAAAATTCTTCCTTAATTTCCTGGTTGATCCATTCATTCTTTAGAAGAAGGATGCTCTTTAGCCTCCATGTATTTGAATTCCTTCCAACTCTCCTCTTGTGGTTGAGTTCTAGTTTCAAAGCATTGTGGTCTGAAAATATGCAGGGAATGACCCAAATCTTTTGGTACCAGCTGAGACCTGATTTGTGATCCAGGATGTGATCTCTTCTGAAGAAGAGATCATGTGCACTGGAGAAGAATGTGTATTCTGTTGCTTGGGGATGGAATGTTCTGGATAGATCTGTGATGTCCATCTGGTCCAGTGTGTCATTTAAAGCCTTTATTTCCTTGTTGATCTTTTGCTTAGATGATCTGTCCATTTCAGTGAGGTGAGTGTTAAAGTCCCCTAAGGTGGCTCCAGGATGGCTTGGGGCTGCTTTATTTTGCTTTCCTTTCTTCTTCTTCTTTTTTTTTTTTTTGAAATATAACTGACACACAAAGTTATATTAGATGTAGATGTGTAGCATAGTGATTGTACAATTCTATATGTATGTTATGCTCACCACAAGTGTAGCTACCATTTATCACCATACAACATCGTTACAGTATCATAGACTATATTCCTTATGCTCTACCTTTCATCCCTGTGACTTTTTCATTCCATAACTGGAAGCTAGTATCTCTCACTCATCTTGACCCATTTTAACCCTCCCTCCAACCCCTTCCCTTCTGGCAACCATCAGATAATTCTCTGTGTTAATGAGTCTATTCCCGCTTTTTTGTTTCCTCGTTGCTTCTTTGTTTTGTTTTTTGATTTCACATATAAGTGAAATCATGTGGTATTTTTCTATCTGACTCAGTCATTTAGCATAATAACTTCAGATCCATCCATGTTGTTGTAAATGGCAAGATCTCATGGTGTTTATGGCTGAATAATATTTCTAGATGGCATAAACCAAACTTCTTTATCCATTCATCTATCATTAGACACTTGAGTTGCTTCCATATCATGACTTTTGTAAATAATTTTGCAGTGAACATGAAGGTGCAGATATCTTTTTGAGTCAGTGTTTTCATTTTCTTTGGGTAAATACCCCATTGTGGAATTAATGAATCATATAGTAATTTTATTTTTAATTTTTTGAGGAATGTTCATACATTTTTTTTTCCAGGATGGCTGCACTAGTTTCCATTCACACCAACACTGCACGAGGGTTAGCTTGGGCTCGTTTGAGTAATCCACACCTCATACCACCACAACCCCTTTTCTGATTTTTTTCAGAAATGAAATACGTGACAGTCTTGCTGAACTCCAGAATGTAGTGCCTTCGGGAGCCACAAACATGCAGGAAGGATTTAAAATGGTACCGAAACTAGAGCTCTGAGGACTTCTGCTTTATGGAGTTCTTAGAGTGTTCCTGGGTCCTCCCACTGCCCTCCCCCAATACTCCTTCATTTCCTTGCAGGCAAATGAGCAGATTGAACAAGAAAACACTAAAGGTAAGTTGCCTGGTAACTTCACTGTGGGCAGGTGTGGGGGCAGAGCAGGCCTGGGCCTCAGGGAGGTGTGATGCAGACCCTCGTCTTACTTACTATCACTGACCTTACTATCACTGACTCTTGGAGCAAGGTGCTGTCCTCTCTAGGCCATGGGTCCCTCTTCTGTGCAGGGAGGATGAAAACCATCCCTAGTGATGTGTCTCAGAGTAACATGGGGCCATACGTGTACGTTCTAGGTTCTTGGTAACTGAGAGGTGCTTGAACTACACTTGGACTGCCTGAACAAGAAAACAGAAAAGCTAGGGGACTGAGAGCAGACAATATTCCATTTTCAGAAAAAAAAACACTGGATTTCCCCCTTGCTATCCACACTTTGTCTCCACCGCATTTTTGGCCCTGGTTCCTTTCCCTTCAGATCCTTCCCTCTGGCTAATGTCATCCTGTGACTGTGTCCCCAACACAGGAAAAGGCTGTGCTCTGCCCAGAAAAGTCTTCATCTAGACTGTAGTGTTGCAGCCCTTGCCGGGAAGGAGGCGTAGGCCGAGTGGGGAAGGGCATTGAGCTGCCATGGGGTCCACAGCCCGAGAGTCTCCACCTTGTCTTCTGGACCCCTGGGTGCATAGATAGAGCAGAACTTTCTGAGGGCACTGCCCTGAGCCAGAGCCAGGCTTTCCACTGTCCTGCGGGACATCTGGTACAGTCGAGTCTGGCTGTCCGTCCCTTTGCTCAACTGAAAGGCTGATGCTTGTGCAGTGAGGTAGCTGGAGTTACCTTTCAGAGCAAGGGTCGTACGTCTGGTCATAGTGACGGTTCAGTAGGAAAGGCCAGAGCAAGGCTCAGCACTGTCATCTATAATGTAGGTCCTGGCTAAGGCCCTTCTCCCTCCAGGGCTGGGCTGCTAGCCCTCCAGACATCGCTGATGGTGGGTACTCGGGTTGGGGGGCCTCTCCTCTGGAGGAGGAAGTGTGGGGAGCAGCACTGTGCTCCAGCAGCCTGTGGAGAGTCACCCTGGGGGCCTTTACTGATCAGGCCACTGCGTGCTGCTTCTGCAGGGAAAAAGATTCCCATCGTGATTATCTCTCTGACCGACGGAACTCTGCTGCCACAGCCCTTTGAGGATACCAAGTTCGAAGTGAGTCCCATCCATTGTTACCAGTATTCTGCTCCACATAGCTGGTGACTTATACTCAACACTTTCATTCTCTTAGGCTGAAGAGGCTCGGAGACTGGGGGCCACTGTTTACGGCATTGGTGTAAAAGACTATAGGAAAGACCAGGTAATTCCAAGCAGGTAACCAGGTGCCACCTGTGAGCCTAGATGAAGAAAGCTTTCATAGGTGGCTTTCCCAGGGTTACATGAGGATGGACCTGTAACCCATCACTAGTGTCTGGACAGCAGATAGCCACTGCAGAAACAAATGACAAGTGTGTAAAACCTGCTGCTGATGGTGCTGGTGGAAGGGCTTTCCCTTTCCAAAGGGTGGGCTGCTGGCCGATGCCAGAGTCTGGCCATCGGAGTCTAACATGACATGAGGGAAGAGACTCTTTCCTGGGATGGGGACTTCTGTGTCCTCAACCCCTGGTCATGGGCCCCAGGCACCTCCTCTGTCTTATAGCTGTTGGAGATTGCTGACAGCCCAGACCACGTGTTTGCAGTGGACAATGGATTTAAGGATCTACGAAACATTGTAGGAAAAGTGAGTGAGGGATGAGAGAAAGGGAATGGGGTGACATCTCACCACAACTCCCCATTACTGTCCCTGACCTGCCACCCACCCCCTCTATTCCAGCTCGCAGCTAAGTCTTGTATTGATATTACAAAAGTGGAGCCTTCCTCCTTCTGTGCAGGAGGTAAGAGCTGGAGTCACTGTTGTCAACCCGGGGTGGGGGAGCGGTGTTGTACGTGCTGGATGCATGGTGCATGCGGTGGGAGCATGTGTGCGTTGTGAGTTTCAGTGTGTGGTGCGTGCATGCAAGGGGTGGTCTAGAGAAAGGTACATGGGTTATAGAAGTAAGTAGATCTTTCTGTGAGGTGTGTATGCCAGGGACCGTCGTGCAGGTATGCGTGCGACTCTGTTTTTTTGGTTTTTGATGTAATGTACGTACGCCTCTCTGCGTAAGTTTAAAATAGTACCATTATTTCATATGCACATATGGCAAAATGATTACCAAAGAAGTTTCATGTGGTAATTTTTCTAAACCAGAAAACCAAAAGTTGAATACGTAACAAGAAAAAAAAATATATTTACAAACCTTCAACAGAGAACTGTAAAATGAAATCTGAGAATATATAAAAAGCACAGCACAATAAGAATAATTAGGGACCACTCCTACAACACAAGTCCGATTCAGTATTTAAAATATCAGTGTAACTTACCACATCAGCAACATGCAGAAGAGAAACATTATCTCAATGGATGACTAAAGAATTGGACACTGTTCAATGGCCAGCGTCATAATGGGAACGTAGCCAGACAGAAGGCATCCATACAGATACAGCTAACATCTCATCCAGTGGTTATGGGGAACTCCTCTCCCTCACATCTGGAACTTCACAAGGGTGCCCTCTCCCCATCCAGGGGTCCCTGTGTCAGTCTAGTGAGGACTCCTATGCAGTGACTACTGGGACAGAAGCCCCCTCTCCGTAATGGACTCTGTGTGTGCCCTCTGGGGATCAGTATAGCGGAAGTGGATGGATAAGCACATTTCTTCCACTGCTAACAGCACTGAGCTGGATCCAGCCAGAAACACACCCAGAGGTTGGTTCTGGCCTCTGCACTCCTAACAGTTGGGACATAGTGCCACTGACTATGGGGTCAGACAGACCTGTGTTCACATCTGGCTGTGCTGCCCATGAACGTGCCACCCGGAACAAACCACTGAACGTCTGTGAGCTCCCCTCTTGTCTCCAAGAAGTAGCAATAACAACACCCATGAGCAGATGTGAGACGTAAGGCCAGGGGATTTTACGAGGACTGGCACAGGATCTAGAAGTTGGTCAGCCCTAAGCAGGAGTAGTGGTACTAATATTCCCATCATCATGGTGCCCCTGGCCGCAGGGCTGAGGCCATGTGTGGAGGGTGTGGGGAAATCATCCCAGATGAAAGCATCTCCAGCCCAATAAGCTGTGAGACGCAACTCTCTGATTCCTCCTGTCTTCTGCACCAACCTGCAGCGCACAAGTAGGCTTTTTTGGTTTAAATCACTGAGCCGTGTAGCTGACCTGACAGCTTCATTTCTCTGATTATGTCCCCTGGACACGCACAGGCCATGGCGTCGCAGCAGCCTGTCAAACTGCAGGTGCAAATGACGGTCATCTACGCTCCCCCATGGTGGCCAGGCCAGGGTGACAGGTGCCTGCCACACACCCACTGACAGCTTAACTCAGCATTTCCTGTTCTGACCTTTTCAATTGTTGCCCTCTTGAGGAAGCTGCCACAACGTGACAGTCACTGGGAGGCCAAGCTCAAGGCAGGATCCTGGACCCCAAATGAAATCAAAGGAGGCATTTCATCAGGCTGTCACTCGAAATAAATCAGTGGGTCAGGGAGCCTTGGGAAGCAGACAGGGGACGAGCATGAGACTCAGGACCTTTTCAGCCTCTCGGGGTGCTCTCCAGGGTGAGGTAGAGGCCTCTGCTGACCTTCCTGCCTCTATGCCTGGTGTCCAGCCCATCCTCGGCTCAGTGCCCTCAGGCCCTGTGTGAGTGTTTGGTGTTAGTGTGACTTGTGTGAGTGTCTGGTCTTAGCATGGTGAATAAATCCCATGGCCATAGCACCTAGAAAAGCTGGCAGGAGTGAGAACAGACTCGTCATTTCTCCACCGCGGTGGCTCATGCTGGCATCTCCTACACAGGGCCCGAGCGCACTGAGCAGGCCACTTCCTGAACCCCAGCCTGGCCTGAGAGTGTGAGGTCCCTAGCCCCCATCAAGGCCAGGCAGGTCTCCCCTCAGCTCTAAGGCTGGGGCGAGGGGTGACACTGGGCTTCCTGCAAGCCCCTCCGTCCACTTTCCAGGGTTCAGTCCACCCCTCCTTTGAGGCCTCACTCCCAGGAGTCTGCCCCTTGCCCCTTCCCTGATTCACTGGCCCCTCTGGATTCCCACAGCCCTTGCTCTGTCCCTCTCATTAGTCACTTGTCACTTTGTACCTGCCGTGACTTTGCCTCGGCTGTGTCACCGTTTATTTTTACCATTCAGTACTTTGATATTTTCTCGGACTTTGTGAAGGAAATTTCCAAACCTACAGCAAAGTGGAAACACCAGTACAAGAAACAGCCCCATCTCCACTACCTGAGTTTTACAGTTCATATTTAATATCTGACCATATTTCATTATAATTTTGTCTATCTAGTGCTCTCTCTCTGTCTTGCAAACACACCCATCTATGCCCACACACAAATACAGACACAGTGCATCTTATTTTTTTGTGCGTTTCAAACCAATTACTGCCATCAGGCTACGTCATCCCCAAAACGCATCATTTTGTATGTATTTCACTATTTATACCGATATTTGTTACGAGTTCTCTTTTTAAATTGCAGCAAACTTTAGTGCATCATTTGATGACTTCTGGTAAATGCACACCTCAGGAAGACCCATAGTTTACCATTGACCCCAGAAAACCCCTCAGATCACTTGCCAGGCGATCCTTGCCCTCCTCCCCCCATCCTGAAGGCAACTGCTCTTCTCAGTTTTTCTCCCATAGGCTAGTTTGCTCCTTTACAACATCCTCTCGGTGGACCCATGTGGCACGAACACTGTGTTTGAACATCATGCTTGCTCTGGTACTCTTGGCACGGTGGTTTACAGATTCATCCTTCCTGTGTGTGTGCTGGCTGGACTTGGAGTATCGTGTCAGGGAGGAAGGCTGGAGGGGGCACCTTGTCATTCTTTCTTCTGTCTGTGACTGGCCCAGAGCGAGTCCGTGGTGGCACGTAGTAGGACCCAGGGCAGAGGAGGGCTCTCCTCGGAGATCCAGTGAGCAGGGCCTGCACTGGGTGCAGAGGGCAGGGCGGGCTGTGTGGGGCAGGAGCCCCCAGAGGGGGAAAGCAAGACCCACGGTGCTGGGCAGAGACACCTTTGCCACCAACATGGATAGCCGCTATCCATCTACCATGATCAAGCTCCCCTTTCATCCCATCCTCTGTCTGCCAGAGATAACTACCACAGACAGTTCATTGTTTATCTATACAGAGCTATCTAAATATGCTTTCCAAGGATGTTTTTACATGAATGGGGTCATGCAGTATGTAACATTCCCCAACCATCAGCACATATTCCATTCTACAGAGGAAATTTCTTTCTCTAGTCTCCCTGGTCAATATTCTGGTTGTTCCTAACATGTGGCTACAGCAGGCTGTGAACACCATGAGGCTCACTCTCTGTGGGCATGGGTCAGGATTCCCTGGGTCAATCCCACAAGTAGGATTGCAGCATGAAGAGGACACACAGGATAAACATTGGTCAGTAGGGTCGGATTTCTCCCAAAGAGCCTGTGCTGAGCAGCAGGGGATGTTCCCAGAGCCCGACCCTCCCCAGGGCAGTCACGTCCACTCGCGTGACCTTGTCAGTCTCACGGTCAGTGGGTTGCCCTCCCTCACTGCTGGTTTCCTCCTTCTTAGGGAGCTCCTCTCTCTGGAGCCCTGGGAGGCCCTCTGTACAACTTCTTCTCCAGAAAGAAAATTCTCCATCCAGAAGGACCAGTCTCCCTTCCAGGGGATCCGGGTCCTCGTGCCACCTAACTGCTGAGATGCAGTGGCCCCTTGTGTAGGAAATGCAGCTCCCACAAGCCGATATTAGTCTGTGCTTCATTTTCATCCAGTGGTGGTTACTGTTGGAGGAATTAGGTGGGGGGTCTTGGAGCAGAAGGAGCAGTTACTGGACAGAGCAAAATCCTTTAACTCCACATCTCTTCTGCTCAAAAATCTGAGCCCATCACCCTGCTTTCAACTTACTGAGTCTTGCCAAAGTGACAGGACCCTCTGAGAGATGCAGTGCCTGTGGATACAGATGGCACTGCTACTGAGGAGGGCCCCGAGGGCTACAGTGCACACTTCATGGGAAGGGGGCATGTGGGCAGAAGGACAGTGTGCAAGATTCCCGAGGAGTGCAGGCTTTGTCAGGCAGCCCTGCCCTCAGCGGCTGCCCTATATCCTGGGCAAACTGGTGATAGCTGCTCAGAACTAAGAGAAGAGCAGAGGGGGAAGAAGGAGGACTTGCCTTGGGCACATGAGGTCAGATCCTAGCCCTGTACCTGCCAGGGCTCCAGGGAAAGCCACCTGCCCTCTCTTAGCCTCAGCTTCCTTCTTTGTAACTTAGGGCGTAATGCCTAGTGCGGGCATGTTGGGAGGTGAGGGAAAGTATAGATCAGCCCATAAGCTGTTCATGGGGAGTGTTATTTTGGATGAACGCCGGCGTTACACACCTTGGCCTGGCACAGATTTGCCCACTTCTGGTTCCTTCTGCCTGTTTGCTAGTGGCAGGAAGAGTCTACTTGCTGTTTTGGCCTCCTTTGGAGCATGATCTCACCTGCAGCCACACACAGCCCGCTGAACTTTCCCTTCTCTGCCTGTATCTAATAACAATGTAGGTTATGCATTTACAGTTCTGTCTTGCAAGGAAATACTTCTTTGCAATAAAAAATCCTGGGATGTAAAGTGTAAATGCTACTTCTGTGATACTGAGGGGCGGCAGCTGTTCTTGGGGTGGCCCTAGCTGGGCTGGCAAAGGGGTTCACAATCTCAAGGAGACAATCTCAAGGGCTCCTTCCTGGCCAATCTCAGAACCCTGTGTCATGGAGGGACAGGTCCTCAGAGGGTATGACAGGGAGCCTGGAACAATCAAATTCAAAGCAGCATTGTGAGATTTGGCTACTGTGTGTGGGAGAAGACATGTCACTTAGAGTCAACAAGTCAGCCCTGAGTGGGCCATTTCCATCTGTCAGGGGCCAGGCTGGTGCCACGAGTAGGAGGGGTGAGTCGGGATGAGAGGCTGCAGTGTGGGGTGTGCTGGAGTAAAGCAGGTGCTGGCCACGGGGAGTGCTCCCCCAAACTGAAACTGGGCAGTGGCATATGGAAATACAAACCCACTGATGCCAGCTGTTCCTGCTTTCCAAGAAAGCTAGTGATCTGGATTACTAGGGAAATGTGCGGGCTTTACAATGCTAACTCTCATTTTTGGAAAACACCTGCAAGCCTAAAAACCCACATCAACAGGCCGGCATCGGGCCACAGGTCTAGAATCTATGTGCTTCAAAGCAGAGCATTTGCTGACACTGCCCTGATCAATGGAAGCTTCGGGGAGACGGGAAAAAGGAGGAATCAGGACAGCCGGTCCAGTTCTGCTAATATGAAGAATTATACCCAGAGAGTAAATTGAGCTAGGGCAAATCAAGCTTCAGGAAGGGGTTGGGCTTGCTGCTGAAGACCTGCCTGTTAGCCTGGTGAACTCCCAGAGGGCCAGGCCCACCAGCTGCCCCCTGGTTTTGCTTCAGAAGCCCAGAAGCTCCAGGGGAGCTGCAGCACCTTGTTTGGGGTCTAAGGCCTTCACCTGTCTCCACACTGATAGAGGAAGTGTTTGCTGAACCCCACGTGGGTTGGTTGTAGCCTATCAGGAGGAGGCAGGGGAAAATCATCTGTAGAGTTCCAGAACCACTGCAAAGACAGGAGCTCTCCTTCCCTGGGGGATTCTTCTCTGCAGGGTCACAGACTCATAGGATATGCAGAGCAAGAGGCAGGGGCTCTGAATGGGCTCTGAATGTCAGGAGTGGAGGTGAGAAGCCCCCCAAGAACCTAAGCCTCCCCTGACACTCAAAGTGCACCCTTGGTGACACTGGGTGAGGATCTGGCCCAGGGGAATCACATCTTGGTTTTGATATGTTTGCTTCCTCATAGGAATCCCTAAACATTCCATTTTGGGGGTGGCCTGCCATGGAAAACAGAGGTGCCCTCAGCCCCGCCTCACACAGTCTTTTGAATGTTGTCTTTGCAGAAAACTATGAATTGATGGTTACTGGAACAGGCTTTAATAACGCAAAAAAGAAGGATGAAGTTATTTGTAAATTCATCTTCAGCGAAAATAAGTCCTTCAGTAAGTAGCCCCATTGGTGGTGACTCCAAGTGACAAATTTCCCACCTCAGGCTGCCTTCCCCTCAGCCATCCAGGCCTTCAGAGCCCTTGCTGACCGTGCACTGTGAACATTGTGAGGATAGACCCATGTGGACAAGGGGAAGGAGGGATCTGACAGAGAAGTTGGGAAGTCATCAACCCCAAAACACAAGAGCCTCTTGGAGCAGGGCTTTCCCCCTACTGGGAATGGCTCTGGGTACGGAGTGTGCCCCAGAGCTGCTCTGCCCTCCCTTGGCTCAGCACTCACTTGCCTTGAGTGACAAGGACCCGAATCCATGGAGATTGCTGGTAGAAACAGGGCAGCCCTGGGGCTCTGAGCGTGGGCCAGGCTCACTGGTAGTTTCCCCGGAGGGTACGTCACCTGGGACAGATAGAGGCTGCCAGCTACCAGGCCCGGACCCTGGAATCCTGGCACAGGCATATGTCACATGTGTGATCTTCAGCAAATGAGGAATCTATTCTCAGCCTCTCTTTTCTCTACCGTAAAATGAGGCCAATATGGTAGCTGAACTAACTAAGCCATGTTGCCTGTGTAAACCAATGTTTGGGAAACAGGCTCAGGCGTACCTCTGTAGGGTCGAGTGGCTTGAGGAAGTACACTGGTGGACAGGCAGATGTGCCCTCAGTGCTGAAGTGGGTGTGATTCTCCCCAGAGATCTGGGAGGGCAGGAAGACTTGCTGTATCCTCCTTTGCCTTCCCAATTAGCCCCCTGATGCCATCATTTGACTTGATTATAGTATGTTCAGTGACATCTTCCTCCAGGGCCATCTGGTCAACCCAGAGCTACTTCCGGCCAATGCATCACTGCAGGATGAATGTTTCAGTCCCCTAAGGGAAATGGTGTCTCTAAAGGTCAGGACAGGTCCCCCATTCCTAAGCACCTGTTCTCCTCCACTCTCTGTGCCTTCCGTTGCTTCTTGTCTCAGAACTTGTCACTCTCTGCATCTACATTTATTTTGTTCTTTGTTAGTTGGTTCTTAGTCTGTCTCCCTCCAGTCCCTCAGATGTAAGACTCTAGGGAGCTGGGACTCAGGCTGCCTTTTCTATTCAACCAGAGCATTGCACAGGCCTGGTACACAGTAGGGGCCCAGAGGAAGGCAGAAAGAGAAGCTGGTGTCCGCCAGAGTGTTAGCTCTGCTTGCTGGGGACCAGCTGAAAGGGAAAGATGGGTGGGTGGACATGCCATTGACAGTATTCTCTCATGATTTTCATTTAGGTAAAAAAGCCACCTCTGTGGAGGAAAACACCGTGATCTGCCCAGGAGTAAAGATAGATAATCCAGATCAGTAAGTGCCCAGGTCAGGGGCCACACCTGTACAGTTTCCATCACTGTAAGGTGTATAGAATGTGGCATGCCACCTGTGCTGGGGAAAACATGTCTCTCCAAGAAGGCTCAAGGCATTGTCAACACTTGTCCTTGTCGGCAGTCACACAAGACGCTCAGGGATCTGCTGTGGCGGGGTCTCTGCTGAGGAAGGAGGATACTGGAGATGATGACTCCAGGAATGGTATCTCAGCTCCAGGCAGCTGGTGAGAGCTAAGCCAACATATTCTGTAAATGGAGAGGAGTCCAATGTCACCAAGCCACTCTCCCTGGGAACTTAGCCCATGGCCACAAGGACATATGACCTCATGTAAGGCTCCCCATGCCTGGTCAGTCTTCAATGCAGAATGTTAAACTCAAGTGCTTATGATGAGCCCCTCCCTTTCCCCATGCCGTGTGCTCACTGGTGACCCCACATTGCAATGAGCAAATCAGTGCAAGGAGAGCCGCTGGCTGTGGTTTGAGCAGAGTGCAAGAACTGTGCCCACCCAGGCTGCTGATCACTTTCTGCCATTTCTCTGCTTTAGGGTGGTCTTCGTTGAAGTCAGCCTAAATAATGGCATCAACTTCATCAGCAGCGGTGCTAACATCACGAGCAAGAACTGCATGAGCGCCAGGGTAAGACTTCAGCCTCCCTCCTGGGCTGTCCAGAACACCTATGCTGAAGGAGCACACACCTTGGGGGGCAAGAGGGAAGGACAGGGTGCCAACGGCCTGAGTAGTGGCTCCTGCAGACAGACAGCTGGGGCATCTTCTCATAGCCAGCCTGTCATCGGCAAGCTGTCCCCACACTCAGGCTTCTCAGGTGCCCTGAGAGTGGGACCACAGGAGTTCCTGCAATGCAGCCACCTGTTCCGGCCTTGCAGAAACTCTGCTCTCTGTGAACCAAGTGTCATTGGAGGCACATGAAAGGGGACAGTCAGAGCCCTGAGCAGACCCTAGAAATGGTGCTGAGCCTCTGACACCTGCCTACCCCCTTGCCACCTCCCCTGGCCCAGCTGTGGAGGGGTGGGGAGCTCAGAGCTCCATCCTGCATTCCAGCCAGGCAGCTGAGAGAGGCTGAGGGGCTGTGGGCTAGGAGCCAGAGTCCGGGACCTCTGGGACACTGGGACACTCCAAATCCAGGTCCCGGACAAAGGGCATCTGGAGGGTGGGGCCGGGTGTGTTTCCACCATATGGATGCAGCTGCTGGTACAGCTGAACCCACACATGCCCATCACTGGCCTGAGCCCCAGCCCACTTGGGAACCACCACCGCCCCCCCGGTCATTTGGCAGAGACCATCAGCCTCCCCTTTACCTCCACTGCTTTCTCGTGATCCTCAGCTGTCCCTCTCTGCTAGTGCTCTCTAACCCTACTCTCCTGCAATGGGAGGGGAAGCAGGGCTGTGGGAAGGGCCTGAGGCTCAGCTCAAGGACAGGCACATAAGCAAAGAAGGTTCTGCTCCCAGGTTCCTCCTCCTCAGAGCTCCGTATCTCCTCGACAGCTGGCATAGGGCACCATGACATGGGCGACAGAGAGCATTAGGATGGAGAAGACAGCTGCCTGGGAGGAGGGATGATGGTGCCTAATTGCCACCACCCTAGTGTCTAGTCCCAGCCTGGGAGGGTTCCAGCAGTGCTGACAGTCCTCCGACTGGGTCTTCGCTTATGCCCAGACATACATTCCTGAATCAGCAGACTGACTCACCCATGTGCCCATCAGGAGTCCCATTAACTGACAGCCCGCCCCCTGCAGACACATGTCAGAAAGACCTCAGGAGGAGCCACACCACCCTGGGCTCCGACCCTGCCTCCCCCTTCAGCCGCTTTGTCTCCTGGACACAGACCCTCAGTCTTCTCCCTCCCCTGCCTCTGGGAAAGGAGACCAGTTAGCTTAGGGCAGGACTGTGTAGCGTGTCCGCTGAGGGATATAGTGAGGACTGGCTTTGTCCCACCATGGGGATTCTGCCCCCTGGTCGGAGCTCTGGGACAGAGCCTCTGAACAGGGCTGGTGGTGCACTCTGACCCAGAGCTCTTCAGTGGCTCTCTGGGTGCTGTCTCTGTCCTCCAGCCTTCAGTGTTCCCTGGGGTGGGGAAATCTGAGGTCCATGGGAACAGGTGGATGGGGAGGTCTGGTGTGGGTACTAGGGTATGCTCCCAGTAAGAGGTCACTCATGCCCACCCCTGTCGCTGACATGTGTGCTTTCTGCAGAATGCGCCAGAACAGATTCCACTTCCCGTTCCAAATGTCCCTCTACTACCAGTCCAGCCTGTCACATCATCACCACCTAGCAAAACATATCTTCCAGATATGAACCCTGTCATCTTGGCTGGGATCGTCATAGGCCTGGTCTTAATCCCGTTTCTTATCTGGTGCATCTGGCGATATTGCTTCAGAAAGGTAAGTAGCATCACAAACACAGTCCCATTCCTGGGACCATGCCAACAGCATGAGGGACTCAGCCTCTCAACCTCACCCCCAGATTCTGCCTGTAGCAGCTGCCCATCAGCAACCAGGTCCTCACAGGAACAACCAGAGGCACCGCCTGTCTTCTGCTCCCAGGCAGAGACTCACCCTGTGGCTAAGGGCCGCTGGCCTCATGCATATCTCTGAAAGTGGCCCGTGAGCTGTCCTGGCTGCTAGGGAGAAGCCACCTTAGGGCCCAGATGCCAGGGAGGCCTCATAGCAGCCAGGCTTCTGGAGACTCAGACAGACTGAGCTCCAGACAAGGCCTCTGGTGCTGAGGGAAAAGAGGCTGGGCCCTGCAGGAGGCACTGAGGGCCCCAAGGGAGGATCCTGTTTGCTGGGAGGGGTCCTGACCTCTGGGACAACTGAGCCTCAGACACCAACAAGAATCTTTGCCCTTATCCAGGATGTCTGGCCTTCCTTCCTCCTTGTTAAGGGCCAGGGCATGCTGGGCCCCTTGCTGGCCATAGAGGTCCAGGAATGGACCTGACACCAGCCTTGCCCTCAGGAGCTCACAGTCCTGTGTCTGGTCTGGATGGGTACCTGGGGGTGGAGGGTAAATTGTCACCTTCATAGGGTGTGGCAAGCAGAGCCTTAGCAAAGGACAAATACTGGCCCTGGGGGGAGGGAGAAGCGCAGACACACTGGCCGCTGGGTTTGAGAGGGCCCCAGCCAGAGCTGGTGAAGGAAGAGGGGACGACAGACGGTGGGAAAGGACAGAACAAACCTGCAGGACACAAGCAGGTCTCATTGCGGGAGAGGTGGAGCTCCCTCTGCCTCTCCCTCCGCCTCTCCCTCCTCTGCCATGGACCAGGGAGCCTAGTCCGGCTGCCTCCCCGCGCACCCTCCAGGGAGCTCCGATCCCCCTTGAATAACCCAGGAGCCTGAGGCTCAAGGCGGTGCAGCTGGTTGACCAGAGACCCATGGGCAGTGGCTTGTACAGTGACACTCCAAAGTCTGTGTTCTGTCCAACTGCTACTTTATAGGGACCCCTCCTGTCTGCATGGTGGAGCCAGCTCCATCCATGCCACTCCAGCCTGTGTTCATGTCTCTTTAACATTCTAGAAAAAGGAGATACCAGCGGTGCATATAATAGAAAGGGTAAGTCATGATTTTGGTCCTGATGCGGTCTGCATCCTCGATGCCCACACTGAACTTCACACACAAGAGCTCCTGCTGCCTGTGGGATATTTGCACCCCCTGCCCCAGCACCTCCCAGCTCCCTGGGCAAAGAGAGCTGGCAGAAAGAAGAGAGTAACCGAGGGACAGGGGAGGGCCTCAGAAGGTTTGGGACTCATAACACCCTTCCCATGTATGCAGCTCTGCTGCTCCAGGGCCTTTGCCCCCGAATTAGCAACTTGAGGGAGCCCGTTTCAGCAAGCACCGGGATCCCTATTAAAATATAGGGACTTTGGGTCAATTTCCAAAGGACTGTTTGAGAGAGTCGGGTGAACTTTGAGAATAGGAACCTTAGATTTCAAACATTGGTTCTCTGCCCAAACTCTGATGTATGTTGTGCTGCATATCGTTGATCTCCATCCCTGTCCCCTGACAGGGCCAGGAGCTTGGCTAGGGTGGGACACTAGGAACATGAGGGGCTGTGAAGGTTGGAAGGTGTCTTACCTGGCATCGAGCTGGGAGACAGGCCCAGTCCAGGTGAGCACAGAGAGCCAGGGTCAGGGGAGCAGGCTGGGATATCCCAGGGTGGGGGCCCAAACCAGGTCCCAGAAGAAGGAGTTATATGGGGACACAGTGTCCTGAAGAGGGTACCGGAGCCTGACGGCTGGTAGGAAGCAGGCCTCACCGCCTGTGGCTGTACAGGGACTGGGTGCAGTGCCACGTGCTGAGAAAGGATCTGCCAGGGTCAGGTGAGTGCAGCCCCGTTCCCTGCCAATGCTCCCACACAGACAGCCCTCCTGTACACTGCACAACCCCAAGACTGGGCTTCTCCCCCAAGGGAGGGTAAAGCCATTTCTGCAAACAAAAGGAGTTTGCTTATTTTCACATGGAGAACACTGTCCTGGTGCAGGGTGCTCCTCATTTGTCCTTTGAAAACTCTCTTGTGCTTTTTTTGAGTGGGCAGAGCTTGGACAGGTGCTAGAGGATAGATGTCATGGGTCTACACGGAGGAGCTGCCAGACCCAGGAGCAGACTCTGCTTTCTCTTCCTAGGAGCCAGCGAGGAAATGTATGGAGACATGCCCAACAATGGTGATCCCCTGTGGGTGCCAGGGAGGTGGAATAAGACGGATCGAGGTGAGAGGGGCATTAGGGAGGGTGCGGTGACCCTGCAGGTGGGGCTGAGGGAGAACGAGGGCAGCCACTTCATGCTCCACAGGCCTGGACCCAGAAACTATGGCTGGGGTGGAAATGAACTTTACTGAAACTGACATTGATCCCTTGGCACTAGAGAAAAAGTAGAGAGCACCCTGATCCCCAGGCCCAGGAGAAAACAGAAAGGGAGGGCTTCTGCCACCACTACCATGCGGGGCCCAGCACTAGGGTCTCCCCCTCGGCATGGGTCCAGGCTTGCAGAAGCTGGTAGCTGGCTACAGCCTGCCAGTCCTGGGCTCGCTCAGAGCTGCTCAGCAGCTCCAGCAATGGCTTGGTGTTCAGCAGCCAGCAGGGGGATGATGAAACACAAGCCCAGTCATAAACAGGCTCCCATGGGTCAGATGTTATGTTAGTCACTGTACAGTACATCATTAGTTTTTGATGCAGTGTTCCATGATTCATTGTTTACATATAACACCCAGTGTCCCATGCAATACGTGCTCTCCTTAATACCCATCACCAGGCTCACGCATCCCCCCACATCCCTCCCCTCTAAAACCCTCAGTTTGTTTCTCAGAGTCCACAGTCTCCCCCTCCAATTCACCCCTGCTTCACTTCTCCTTTTCTTCTCCTAATGTCCTCCATGTTATTCCTTATGCTCCACAAATAAGTGAAACCATATGATAATTGACTCTCTCTGCTTGACTTATTTCACTCAGCAGAATCTCTTCCAGTCCCGTCCATGTTGCTACAAAAGTTGAGTATTCATCCTTTCTGATGGAGGCATAATTTTCTGTTGTATACGTGGACCACATCTTCTTTGTCCATTCTTCTGTTGAAGGGCATCCCAGCTCTTTCCACAGTTTGGTGACTGTGGCCATTGCTGCTATGAACATTGGGATACATATGGCCATTCTTTTCACTACCTCTGCATCTTTGGGGTAAATAAGGAAATTTTTTACAGGAGAATTCTGAGCAAGGTTTGTTCACTATTAAAAGTATCCAGAAATGCGAGTGGTTGCTGCAAGCCTTGCATCCGTCTGCTCAGCTGAGTGAGGGACTGAGCTAACTCCATTGTTCTGGGGACCCAGTGACATGGAGAGACCAGAGCCTCATGGAGGACAAGGTCTGCAGGAAATGTTCTCACCCCAGGACATGCTAGGCCCCCACCCAGTGAGGGAGCCCCCAACCCTGCAGGGGGCTTTGAGGACAGGGATGGGGAGGCCCCAGGCAGCCCAGTGTGAGGAAGATATGTTTCAGATTCCAGAGACCCCAAACACACAAGACCACCAGGCCCCTGCCCTAGGTAGATGCTACAGGGCTCCCTCAGTGTGTTCCTGGGGACAGAGCCCTCTGGAACCATCTCAAGTCAGAGAGGACTATACCCTCTGGAGGTGACCGCCATGCCTACAGCTTCCCCATGGCCACATCTGCTTTTCAGGGCAAACTGGATACCTTGTGTGACTTTGTTCAAAGCTGCAACCAAGTGCCATTGATATGGTGTCAGCCTAAGAGAAAGGTAAGCAGGGGCACAGGGATGCTCCCCATGGGCCAGCAGGCCTTTGCTCTTTGCCCTTGACCGTTGCACTCAGGGACTGTGGGTCAGAGACGGTGTCCAGGCACCGGCCAGGGAGGATGCCAAGACGTGGAGAGGTGGTGTTCATGAGCCTCACAGGCCGATTTGGGTCTGGCATCTGCATTTTCATGCACATCCACTCCAGAATAACAGGAAAGTTCTTATGACCTAGCGCCTCCAAACTTAAGTCAAAGAAGCTATAAAGGGAGGCCAGCCACAGAGTTCTCCTGGCCCCTCACCATCATCCCTCCCCACTGTGCTCCCCGTGGAGGTCTGCTGGCTGCCCCCATCCACTGAGACTCTCCTGCATGGCTCAGTCTTATGCCAGGACTGGTGGAGGGCGTGGCGACAGCTCCATGTTGCTGGCAAACACTGACAGCTTTTACCAGGTAGTAGAGTCCCTGCTTGTGTCATTGCCTGTGACAACAGGGAGAAGCCAGCTTGTTACAGGTGTCCTCCATGGAACTGAATATTAGTGACAACTTGTTGTTCTAAGTTCCTCCTGTGGGCCAGCTGCCAGTCTAAGAACGCTGCATATTTTCACTACGTACTCCTGCCAGCAGCTCCATGTGCAAGTACTACTAATATGCCCTTCTTTCCAAAGGGGGTGCTAAGGCACAGAGAGGTCTAGTGACTTACCCCAGGTCACAAAGCCTGGGAGTGGCAGCACTGGACTTGAACCCCAGACCCTGGCTCCACCCCTCTCCCTGCCCTGCCCCCTGTCAGGTCAGGATCCTGATCCCATGATGGTTACCCCACAAATACCTACAAGGCTCAGACCGAGGGCCCACGAAGAGCATGCTCCTGGCTTACCTGGCTTCCAGGTCTCAGACCCTTTGCTCAGACTGGCCCACGGGCCTGGAGGACGTTGAAGTCCCCAGAAGCCCTAGTGAGGACCACATAAGTCACTTCTTTGGATCGGGCAAGCACAGCTCTCCCTCAGTACCAGGTGGGCATTTCGGAGTCCTGGGCAGGCCTGAGGGGCTTGGGACACTGCTGAGGAGACACCCCCGATGCATGCTGACCCCCAGCAGGGCCACCGTCTGGTGTCAGAGGTGCCAGGGCTCCTCTGGGGCTGGGCTCCGGGCTCTGGGTCTGAACAGGGCTCTCAGTCCCAGCCATGCTCACACAGAATTCCCTTCTCCATCTGATTCTCCTGGAGCCTCTTCCCAGAACCGCAGCCCCACGATGGTCACATGAGCACCACACCAACCCTGTGCCCTGAATCCACCCAGCGGTGCCCACTCAGGGCGGAGGGATGGAGCAAGACATGGAGGGAGGCCTGAGACCAGATGGAGAACAAGGAAGGGATACCAGAAAGGGCCATCCTACCCATCCAGGTGAGGGCAGGGTGCTGAACAACCTTCCAGAAGGGTCACATTCCTAAGACCCCGGATGAAGGGTGGCAGAATTCAGACTCATGCATTGTGGGGCACTGCCAGCTGCCCACGGCTCTGCGAGACCCCTGCCATGCCAGCTCTGGCACTGGCCCAGCCCCCTCTGGAGCCAGGAGGGACCCTGTGTGTGTGCCGATGGCCAAACACTATCCGAGAGGTCAGGGAAGCAGCAAAGTCCAACGGAGAGCAAGTTCAGCACCCAGGGCTGTCTGAAGTCAATCCTCTCATCCTGAGCAGACCTGCGAGCCCATTAACTAAGCCCTGTGGGAGGGGGCTCCCTCCCCACTCATCTGTCCCCTCCTGACCTTGTCCCTCCAACCATCCTCCCGGAGTCCTGAGTATTGCTGGGCCCCCAGGACTGCAGTATGTGCAGGGTTCTGGCACCTTCTCTTTAAGCCTTCAGTGCACTGGTCCCAGGCCCTAATCAACCAGAAACCAAAGGGTCTGAATGTCACTGGTACCTGCAGTCTCTGCATACCAATGCGGCCCCAAGCCCAGACCCCCAGCCCAGGCTGCTTGGGGTCAGAGATGGGCGTGCCTGGGGCTTCCATGTGGGAAAACAGATACTGCAGATGTTTGTAAAATGACTACGACTCTTCGCACCACCACCCCTACCACCTTTAAATCCCCAGATTTTTTCTGAAAAATTTCCCTTCTAGACTGACTTTCCTTATTGACATATACAAAATGGTACAGCAAGACTCAGTCTAGTTGCTTAATCTTGACCCAAACCCTGGCTCCCCTGTGAGGTCAGTGTCTCTTCACTTGTTGCCTTATCCCAGAACAGCGCACTAGTTCACAGATGCTGGTACTGTTAGTTCCGACAGGAAAATCAGGCCCCCTTACCCTCCCCCACCGCAGGTGCTGCCCATAGTCCTAGAACTGTGTCCCGGGGCGTGTAATCCGTGTGCCCCCCGAGAGGCTCTCTGCACAGCAGCTCCTTTCCAGGGACTGCCCCTGCCATTTACACAGAGCCCGCAAACGGCTGGACACTGTCCTGAGGGCTCTATATAACTGACTCCTCCATCTCCCACACCTCCATGGGGGAGAGAGCTGAGGCCCACACAGTTAAGTCTCCTGCCCAGACTGGCCCCGGCATGAAGCTCTTGGGACAGCAGCCCAGCGCCTTGCTGCCGTATGACTGTATCTCTCTTCTGCAATGTGGTCACTTCTCAGCATGTCACAGCTGTGGAAACTGAGCCTCTGAAGTTAGTGATGGACTTGAAGTGACAGGGTTGTGGAGGGCTGTGGCAGGGCAATGAATGACCCCAGGGGAGGCTCACGTCCAAGTTCATGCTCTGACCCTGTACCAGACTATGAGGGCAGTAGGGTAACACGTGGAATGCACTTCTGTCCACAGTACAGTGTCTTAGATGGGCAAACAGTTGTGAATGTTAACACCTTACTTTCCTAATATGCTGCTGACAGACCTTGGGCATGTTTGCTGGAAAAGAGTTTCTCTAGGGAACAAGCAGAGCTGGATACAGATGGGCCTTATGATGCATTCGTGGTCGAGGAGCTCCTGAGCCTTTGACCTTACCTACAGAGGGAGCTGCACCAGGGAGGCGTGTGTGACAAAGCTGGGACATGACTTTACCCACCCCCCCAGGAAGGCCGAACTTGACAGGCAACTACCAAGCCAGTGAACTTGGGGAAGGTCTCACATGTAACTCTGGGATTGTGATAGCAGCTGGCCCCCCTGTGCTCTGCAACCCTCCCCTCTCCCTGACCCAAAATTCACACAATCTCTCTCTCTCTCTCTCTCACACACACACACACACACACACACAGAGAGAGACATGCCCAAGCACGTGCAAGGACATGTGCACACATGTACATATTCCTCGTGAAGTAGCAGGAAATGCAATAATGGAGCCAATGCTTTAAAGCACCGGAGGTTAGGGCTAGCAAGTCACTGTTTGCCGGTAGATTCAAGGATAGTCCTTCACCTGTGCAGGCCTGAGCTGATGGAAGAAGTGATGGGTCACTGGCTTAGATCATCAAATGGTAAGAAGGCAGAGAGGAAGGAGAGCCCCCTCAATGCCCAAACTCCTCCACTCACCCCTTGACACTTGCACCACAGGTTCAGGGCCTCTGTGTCCCTCCAGGTTTCCCCAACACATGGGGCCCCTCATTCCTCCCAGCTGCCTGTGGGCAGATCCAGCCCGCAGCTCCCAGGGATAGGCTCAGGCATGGGAGAGAGAGTGGACCTCAGCACAGGTGCCCCACAGTCATCTCTTAACAAAATCAGAGGGATCCTCCAGCAGTTGCTAGGTCTAGAATAATCTGTTCACATTCTGGAGTAAATAAGCAGAAATAAAAGAGGTAGAAATAAAGATAAGATACAAGGTTCCAATCTATTCTCAATAGCAGCACTCCCATGCATCTGGGCAGCACGAGTGTATTGAACTATAATGAAACCACAGAGCTTTACTCATCACTAGAAAGAAGATTTGAGAATGTGAAAACCTAGACCCTCTGCTTTTCCCAGAGGAACTCATGGGCTTAGTTCTCCTTTAGTGGAATTGTAATGAACATGTTTAGGAAAAACTGATTTTAAGTTTACACACACACACACACACGCAAAAGAACAGTTAAGAATAGTTTAGGAGTTTTTGATGTGATATCCTGGAGCAGGGATGGAGCTAGGGGGTTGCTCGGAGGAGAGGATCCTATGTGGTCTGAACTAGGGGAGTGCAGAACAAGGTGACCAGGGGAATGGATACAGTCGAGTGGGCCTAAACAGGGAGCCTGAGGGCCTCGATGGTCCATGGGTGCACAAGAAGGTGAGAATGGACAGGTGACCGGAGACACAGGTGGCTCAGGACAGGGTCTGGGCCGAGTAGACCCTAAGGCTGGGCCTGATGCCCTGGAGGCTGGGGAGAAGGAGGCAGGCGAGGCGAGCAGGGATAATATGGGGGGCGGCCGAAGAGTGCACGCCTGGGCTGTGGGTCTGGAAGTGAGAATGGCTAGCTAGGAAGTAGAGATCTTGAAAGGGATTGCTGATAAAGGATCAAAGAACTTGCTATCTGCATAGAGTTCAAGATTCTATTCAGAGTGGTTACCGTGGATCATTAGAAAACAAGCAACTTCTGTTTCCTTGTGCATGTTTGTCTGGATTGTCTGGATCCTCTACAACGGGCAAGTGTTACCTTTTACGATCAGGAAAAGCAAAAATACTTACGTGTGAAAGATAAAATATTAACCTAATGGACACTAAGATGATGCTGCATAGAATGTGGCCTAGAAAGTGACAGTTTAAAATGTATGTGAGTCTTGCTGTCCCACTAGCAAAAGTCACCACAAGGAATCCTTGCCCATCTCTGAGCTCATCTCCACTCTGCACAGAGGGGTGCAGGTCCCCAAGTGTGTGTTTCCCAAAAGTTCAATTGGCTCAACACCCTTGTGGGTGTGAAAAAGGATAAGGTCTGGCTCCAGGTATCCCAGGCTCATTGAGAACACACTTAGAAACCCAAGGGGTCTCAGAGGTTTTAGGTATGTTGTTTTTCTAATGTAGCTACATTAGAAGGGAAAGCCAAGGTCATTCTCAAGGCTTGGAAGGGGTTTTTATTAAAGATTTTATTTATTTATTTATTTATTTGACAGAGAGAGATCACAAGTAGGCAGAGAGGCAGGCAGAAAGAGAGGGGGAAGCAGGCTCCCTGCTGAGCAGAGAGTCCAATGCGGGGCTCCATCCCAGGACCCTGGGATCATGACCTGAGCCAAAGGCAGAGGCTTTAACCCACTGAGCCACCCAGGCGCCCCTGGAAGGATTTTTAAAACTAGGGTGATGATGATGACAGTCCCAATAAGAGAAAGCAGCTGTCCAGGCCCTCTGTCACTCACAGGCACTCAAGATAACACTTCGAATGAATGAATGACAGGTCCACAGAAGTCCCAAGTCTGCCTCACTGCACGTGAGGACTGAAGGGTCTTTCTGGGGACCAACAGGCTCCCACAGATCCAGCAGAGGGATCACTGGGGATCTGGGCAACAGGAATAGCATGGGCGTAAGTAGAGAAGGTGCTCGGCAGGCCCCAGCAGCCGGAGAAACCCCAGCATTCTGCTCCAGCGCCATCTCAGCGACCGTCTCTCTCTCCTCTTCCCTGCAGGGCCGGTGCTTCAACTTCGCCCTAGTGAAGCCCCTCTGCAGGCAGTTGCCCTGCAGCGGGAAGGTCTGCCTTCCGTCCAACCAGGCATGCTTCCCCATCAACAGCTGCTACTCACGGTGCCAGCACCCCCTCCCCACGTGCTCCCGGCTCCCCTCCCGGATGCTGCCGCTGATCTCTCCCCCTACCCGGGCAGTCTGCGGAACCACTTTGTCACTCCCGCCCCCTTAGCCCAGCCTCTAATGCACCAAAACCCCCAGATTATTAAGAGCCCTTGTGCACTGAATTAGACATATGTATTGAGTCTTGGTTTGCAGTCAAAGGAGTTGGAATCTATTGCTGATCAGCAAGAGAGTTTGTTACCGGGAGAACATCGCTACACTGTGTGAGAAGTGTCTATACTGCTCCTGCCAGGACAGAGCGCCCTGGTGTCTGCTGGATGCAGACATGGATGCCTCCCACCTCCCACAGCCAGCTCTTCATCGGTCACCAAGGGCTGCAACGCCCGGGGTCTTGGTCAAATTCTGCTCCTTGAAAAAAATGCCCCAATGTCTCTGAAATATGAATGCAATGCTGTGTTTTGTTCCCTAACTTTGTGCAGAGGGAAAACTTGAATCTCTCCCCTCCTTCACAGTCCTTGTTTTCATAGTTTGGCTACCCCCACTTCTGAATGTGTCCTAGAAAGAGGCAAACCCCTACAGCTCACCAGCCGCCAGGGAGACTTCTCTTTTCCAGATACCCCAGATAGTCCCTAAGCCCAGAAGAACGTTAGAGGACCCTCTCCATTTTCCTAGAGAATGTACAACCTCCCCTACTGGCCGTGAGCCCTCGACGGGACCATACCCAGTCATCTCCAACCCAAGCTGATAGGAAATGAAAGTCCTCTCTGCCTCCACCCTCATAGCCTTCAATGTCATAATTACGCTTTTCGGTGGAATTTCTGTAAGACAAGTGTAGGTAAAAAAATGTCAGGTTTGGGTTTTTAATCTGTATGGATTAAAGTGGCTGGATAGCCATGACCCTAATTTAAAAAAAATAAATAAGTAAAAGTCTTACCTGGCGTGGCTTGTGTATAAGTATGTGGTGAGTGTTTGCAGTGTAACTCTCCAAAGCATTTGTATCTGGAGCTGCTCTTTCTCAAGGACCCCTTCCCGACCTCCCCATCCTGTCATGGCTTGGGCCACAGATCCGTGTCCTGCCACCAGCCAGGATGGGAACAGTGACAGAGAACATCTCCCACCCCATTGTGGGCCCTTGGCACGTCCCCCAGCCCATCCATCTCACAAGCTGGTTTTGTTGTTGTTGTTGTTGTTTTATTTGTTAGAGAGAGAGAGATCACAAGTAGGCAGAGAGGCAGGCAGAGAGAGGGGGTAAGCAGGGTCCCCTCTGAGCAGAGAGCCTGATGTGGTGCTCGACCCCAGGACCCTGAGATCATGACCTGGGCTGAGCCACCCAGGTGCCCCTCACAAGCTGTTTCTAAGAGAGCTTTTCCTGGCACAAAATGCCAGGTGCACCGTGTCTCAGAGAAATAAGCCATTTCAAAATGGAGGAAGTAGAGGAGGAGGCTTAACCCTGCGGCATGGACTCATAGTATCACTGGACCGTGCTCTTGGCCCCATTCCAGAACAACTATATAGGTGTGTGAAAGAGAACAAGCAACTGCTCCAGGCCCCACTTCCCGAGGTCCTTCATGAAATGGGAGGCCCTAGTCAATGCTTGGGTTCGCTCTGGGGTTACAAGAGTGAAAACCACAGGTGGTATAAACACGGTGAGGGGGACGCAGGACACCCAGCGGGCAGGTGGCCCCACCCTTGCACAGCCCCATGGGGAAGCCTCCGGATAGGTAGGTCACAGACGCCTGTGCAGCGTGGGATGGGACCGCTGGCTCTGGACCACCTTCACAGAGCAGCTGGTGCCCACGGGCCAAGCACTAATGAGCCAAGAGCTACCACATCCAGCTCTGAAAAGGTGGCTCGACTCTCAGTCTTCTGAGAATTGGGGAAAACATGTTTATTGTATTTGTGATACCAAACATGTTTATTGTATTTGTGATACCAAGAAAAATGTGTGAAACATTTTTTTACTGGACAGAATGGGAGTTAAAACAACATGAATGTGTACAGAGAGATTTCATCTCTTCCCAAAAAGTGGGGTCTTTTGTCTGTAACTGGTGAAAGCATGATCCCGGCCTGAGAGGTCCAAGGACACTTTTCTAACTGTCTCTGGGCTCCAACGTTGTAGCTACATTGAACCGTAGGAGGGTACTAGGCCATCTCCAAGCCTCTGTGACCCTATCTGGAGAAAGGTCTGGTCCTGACCGACGTCAACATGCCTGTTCGTTAGCGGGCGCTGGGAGCTGTCTTACTTTCAGCCAATACAAACCTGGGCTCATCGCTCCTTCCTCATCCCTGAGCTGAGGAGGGAAGTAGGCACAGACATCTGAGAGAAACATAGGCCTGCCCCCACCACCCCCCACCCCAGCCCCACAGCCATGGACCCGGGCCTTGCTTCTGGTGGGGACAGTATCAGGAGGCATCAGGAAAAGGGAGTTTCTTTGGAGACCCCTTCCTGGACCCTGCCGTCCCGGGATCTAGCTCAGCAGATTTTCTGGCTGGTCATCAACCTGGGGCTCCTAGGTTTTGTGAAGGAGAAAGGGGCACAGCCCACTGCTGAGAGCTGACTTGCAGATCACCTGTCTCCACCTCCTGCCTGAGGTTTTTGGGCAGGGCAGGACATTTTCAGAAAATGTCTGACATCTGAGCTGTCCTGAGCTGAAACATGTGCAAGGGGGAATATACTGGGCAATGCTTACTCCTTCCCTCAGACATTTTCTGAGTACCTCTCGGTGTCACTTGGAGTGGCCCCTGTAGACGCAGAGTGGACCTGGGCCAAAGCTTGTTCTTCTGGAATCTGGGAACTTCCCTCAGATCCCACCCGGCTCAGCCACAGGCCTCCTTCACAAGTGTGCAAGCCACAGTGCACTCACAGCCATCTCCATGTTGGAACTCCTCCCCTGTCACAGTCCATGCACCGGGACCCCCAGAGTGGGCCCCGGAAGTTGAGGCGGCCAGTGGGGCAGAAGGAAACACTATTTCTCAATCACCACCCAGTGCTTCTTGCTGTGCTGTTCTCAGCGATCTCCTCAGGCACTAAATTAGTCTACAGAAACATCCATCAGCTCCCCTCGCTCTCCCTGTTTCCCATTCCACACCCCAAGCAGGTGGCCAGGCCCTTGGTACCATCTGGCCGTTTGCAGCAGGAAACAAGTGGTCTGAGCTCCATCTGTCTTCTACCTTGTGTCAAGAGGGCCCAGGGACCTAGCCTCGCCAGAGCCACCAGGACGGAAGGCCTGTGCAGGCCTGGCACTGGGTGGTTTGGGAACAGCCATGCAGGCCTCCTGCACACAGGACTTTGGTCCAACCCTGGAGGAGGAGGAGCCCTGGGGAGCATATGAAATCTACATTCTTCAATATGAAGAATTCTACTGTGAAGTCGTGAATCTCTCAGATGAGCCACAAAGCTCACAAAAATTTCACAGCCCACTTCAGAATGTGCCCCCAGCTTGCTCACAATTTCCATGGGAAGGTTGGCGACATCCTGCCATAAGGGGTCCCCCTGCAGGAGAGCACAGCCTGACCGCACAGCGGGCTGCAGCAGGACAGAATGACATTGGCTACAGGTCCGGACCTGTGGTCAGAGAGGCCACCAGTCCAGGCGAGACCAGACACTGGAAAGCCCATGGGAACAACACCTTCTCTTTCAGGCCCTCCTGCAAACATGGCCGCCTCTGGGCCTTGTGGTCTCTGAGTTCTGTCCATCCCACTCTCTCCCTCCCATCTCTGCCTCCCTGTGCCCTCAGCTGCCCAGAGGCCCACGGTCTCCAGTTGCCGGCCCCTGCTCAAGTTGAACGGCTGCTCCCCAGTGCTGTGCCATGGGGGAAGGATATCCCTGTGGGCGCACGGCTGCTGTCAGGCCCAGCACAGGGTGTGGGAGCAGGTCGAGGGTGTGACCATGGGCTGAGCAGTTGCCTCCAACATCCTCTGCCACACACTGGGGAGCCTGATCCATCTGTCTCTCAGTGAGTGGCCCTTCATCGCCCACCATCCTTCACTCCTGCTCCTTTCTCTCACTGTCTTTGGCTTCACGATGCCCCAAGAAGCTGAGCCATGTGAGCAAGTAGGAGCCTCTCAGGGTCCACTCTCACCTGCCCCTGGCACCTGCCCTTTCTCTCGGGGTCCCACATCCACCTGCTGCCTCCAACCTACAGACTCAGCCTGTGCCAGTCGGGGGAGGGGACTGGGCTTTGACAGTGGTGGGAGACAGAGAAGTCTGGCCCCTCGTGTGCAGTCTGGGCTCAGTTAACAGCAGACGGGACGTGCGGTGTCTGTCCATCTAGGGGTACCGTGTTTGCACGGGCTGCCGGAACAAAGTACCAGAGACTCAGTGGCTTAAAGAGCAGAAATTTATTTTCTTACAATTTTGGAGGTTAAAAGTCCAAGATCAAGGTGTCTGCAGGTTTCATACTTGCTGAGGCCTCTCTACTTGGTTTGTAAATGGTCAGCTCTTCCTACGCCTTCACAGACCTCTGCTCTGTGTGTCCTCATCTCCCGCTTAAGGACAACGGTCATCTGAGAACAGGGCCAACCCTAGTGACCTCATCTAATTTTGTTATCTCTTTAAAGACCCCATCACCAAGGGCTCCTGAGTAGCTCAGTTGATTAAGCCACTGCCTTCAGCTCAGGTCATGATCCCAGGGTCCTGGGATCGAGCCCCGCATCAGGCTCTCTGCTCCATGGGGACCCTGCTTCCTCTTCCCTCTCTCTACCTGCCTCTCTGCCTACTTGTGACCTCTGTCTGTCAAATAAATTTTTAAAAAAAATTAAAGACCCCATCTCCAAATAGTCACATTCCGAGGTACTGAGGGGATTAGGGCATCCACAGATTAACCTGGAGGGGACACAGTTCAGCCCGTAACAGCCATTTATCAACTGATATTGTCAGGAGTCCCCTTCCAAGTGGTGGGCTCTGGGGGACATGGGGGATCCTGTGAAAAGACTCCATGGTTAAGGACCATCTGGGTGACCACAGGCAGACCACTGTCCCCTCTTTAGAGATGACAGCTACGTGGAGATGGAGCATGAAGAGTGCATGCTCCCAAGTGGCAGCTCCCAAGAGGCTCCCAAGTGGCAGCTCCTGGGAATCTGAGACAATGCTGGGTCAGGACCTAGTTGCTCAGGTCAGATGGCAAGATCGGGAAGGGATCGTGGGGACTCATCTTCTCTTTTGACAAGTGAGGAGCTGAAGAAAAGCATGTTGGTGACTCGACATTCCGGGGGGCCACTGCCTTATGTTCATGATCCTTGCAGAAATTCTGGGGCTCCAACGACATGCAGAATGCCCAGGGTTGCAGCTCGTGAGCCCAAAGGTGAGATGGGATTCTCAAATCCAAAAATGGATTTCTTGTAACCAGAAATCCTGACCCTTCATTTTTTTCTTTCCCGCTACCCATGGGTGGGGGACATCCCTGGGAAGCACACTCTGGCTCAGCAAACAGATGGCTGGTGGTGAGAGGAGCTGCCTTACAGACAGGAGGCCATAAAGGGGAAGA